TTGCTTGTTACTTACCCAATCCATGCCTTTAGGATACAGCAACGCAAAACAGACTGAGATGACACAAATGTGTAACAGATTCGAGAAACTTAGAATAAATGGGACTCCCTATGGCTATATGACCTACATGTTTTAAGGGGGGAGATAAAAGAAGAAAGAAGAGAGGGGAGGAGGAGAGGAAGTGGACAAGGAGAAGAGGTGGAGGAAGAGAGGGTATCAGCAGAAGAAGAAGAGGAAGAAGAGGAAGGAGTGAAGGAGAGAGGAAAGGGTAAGGGACAGAGAGGAGCAAGAAAGAGAGAAGACCATGAGACCATATGTGGGAAATGGAGAACTTGTAAGATGTGAATTGAAGGAAAATGAGACCACTGAAAGGGCAGCGAACCTGCAACTAAGACTCAGGTGCAGACGTGAATTTTGAGTCTGGTAACTTTATGGAGTAATGTATATTGGAACTCTACTTTTTTAGAGGTTTATCTTTTCATAATCTAACACATAATCATGCAAGTACCTGCTTGAAATAGAATTATTCTCCGTAACTCTTAGTTATTGTACATTGATATTTTTTCTCATCGAATGTTACTAGGCCATTTAGGTAACTCATAGTAAAGGATATAGACTAGGCCTGATCGCTTTAATATTGTTTTGTATTCACACTAGAACAATTATAAAGTAAAAGTTAAGAAATGCTACACACTGATTTAAACATCTATGCAAAGATATATATATTCTTTTTAGTAAGATCTAGTTACGTGGACCCTGCCAGGATAAGAGGGTTGCACAAGGGGTACAAAGGCAACATGTCACAGAACTCCAATAAACTACTATATTAACTGGTTTATTCAAAGTACCATCTACAACAAAATAATTATTGAAACTGTCCTATTAATTGGTTTTGAAACTGTCTCATTGCTATTTGTTTCTCAGTAAAATTAATTTTTTTTAAAAAGGTACCATCTAAAGGACTGGCCAAATAGCTCAGTGGATTAAAGTGTCTGCAAGCAGGTGCAGGGGCCGGGGATTCAATCCCCAGGCCTCCCTTGCCAGCCTTGTCCCTGGGGTGTGCTGAGATAGTAATTAAGACTGGGTGTGGTGGTACATGCCTGTAATCACAGGACTTGAAAGGTTGTAAACAGGAGAATCACTAAGGGTCCAACCTGTGTAGTGAGACCCTATAGACTCTTCCCTAAAATACAGAAAAAAAAATCAAAGTACCATCTATCTTGAGAAGTACCAGTGATTATTTCTACTTCTCTAAAGAACATGAAATGATAGTAGAAGGAATGATTAAAGTCTTCTCAGAGGACCAAGCACACATTTTAGCTGTAAACCTGACATCTAAGATTACAGCCAGAGAGCATTCAGTTTCTTGTCTCTTCAGGATCACCATATTTCACATCTGACAAAGTGGTTGTGTTTTTTGCAGCTTGAACTTAAAGACAAAGGTTTTAGAAAGAAAAGGAGATTTCATAATCTTTGTACATTCCAAGTAGTCCACAGAAATAGAGGCAGAACAGAGGTGTGTAAGTTGTACTGCTTTTCAAGTAAAATGAGAATGGGGAGAAAAGGGTTATGTGTTAGTTGTCCGGCAACACACTACCCCAAAATACAGAAGATTGTACTAATTGTTTTATGCCTAGGCCAACATCTTGGATGTCAACTGCCTTCAAAATACGTTGGAAGCAGATTCACTCCAGATGTCTGAAATTTCTTAGAGAAGTAGCTGACCAGAGCAAAGTTCTTTCTCATACTGAGCAACCTGAATCAGTACAACAAACAAAGAACCAAATATGAGAAACACATGGAGCTTCTTAAAAAATATCCTGAGATCCAGGAAAGAGGAAACGAGCATGTGTGAGCCATGTCCCCTGCCAGGGCTCTCCAGCAGGGTGACACCGCATCCTTGTTCCTCTCTTCCATGTATGCTTTTTTTGACAGATTTCTGAATTTACTTTCTACTCTTTAGAAATCTACTGATAAGTGATTAAATTCACAGCTCCAAAAAGCCAAATGACAAAGGAAAGAAACAAAGAGGAAAGCCACATTTCACAGGCGAATAGGCCCCACACTTTGTAAACTGTCCATTCTCTCTCAACCTTTCTCTTCTCCAAGATGAGCTTTTTGACCATGGACAGTAATAGCAGCCTCAAAGAAATAAAGTGAATTTCCAATGTCATGAGTGCCTTGCTGAGAAAAATGTTGGATTTAAACAAATTAAGCCACATCTCCAGAGAGCTTCTGAAGGCCAAAGCTGAACTGAAAATAAATAGGCTAATAGATTCTCACATGGAGTTACTGCAGTGAGCAGAAGTTGTACCTTTCAGCTAACTTGCTTTTCTTGAAAATGGGATTAGGACAGAGATGTCTGGAATCAGAACATGAAATTTCAGGAGTAATTTATAGGATATACTTTTCTCGCGCAATAGACATTACTAGCGAATCCATTTCCTCCCCTTTCTATCTCGTTCTTTCCGTCTGCTTCCGTACTCACTGGGCCAGGTTTCCAGGCAAACTGCTAAAGAAGGGAGCAAGGGAGTGTGACAGCACAGCCTGTTCAGGCCTGCTGGGTGCACAGGCCCCTGGAGCTGTGACAGGTGTCAAACAGACAAGCTGCGGTGCGTTTTTCCTCTAACTGCTCCATCTCAAATGGTAAAGAGCAGAGTACCAAAGAGCAATCCTCTGCTTCTGCCACTCCTGCTTATGTTAGTTCTGGAGATGTGCCGTGGCCTCTGGCTCAGGGAGACTGCCTGCTCCGACAGGGATGGCACATGCTCACGCTGATCAGAGAGTCTTAGCAACTGCTGGAGGAACAGGAGGCTGCTCAGTTTAGGGGTAAGCACATATAAGTAAACAAAGATATGTCTTATTCTTTCAGGCATGGTTTTCAGGGTGTGGAAGGAAGCCAGATGCGCTAGCATGGGGGAAAGCCGTCAAGGACAGGATTGCAAAACTGCAGGCCAGGCGGTTTCTGTGCTTTGTGTGTTTTCTTACTTTGTTTTTCACATTATCTCCCTTAATATTAACTAAAAGTGTTTTTGTTTTGCCAGATGCCATGGTTTGATATTGTTGCAGTGCTCCTCAAGGTTTCACATGGTAAAAATTCATCCCTGTTGGGAATTATTAGTGGAAATTTAATCAAAATATTGGGTTTAAAGGTGGACCTTTGGGGCAGTGAGTAAGATACAATAAGATCATGGGGTGTCACCTTTATTACTGAATTCTAGTGGCTTTATAGGAAGAGGAAGATAGCCACACACCATAACTGAGTTATGCCACATGATACCATGAGGTGCCATGGCTGCAGACAAGAAAGCCATCATCAAAAGAGATTGGACGCACTCAGGGTGGTATGGTTGTGGACAAGAAAACCATCATCAAATGCAGCCATGGACACTGCACTTCCAGGAACTCGAGTTAAAATAAAACTCATTCTTCAAAACTTAGCCTTGCATCTGGTATTTTGTTGCAGTAACAAAAAAAAGGAACAAATATAACAGCATTTCTAGAGCTGAGAAAACAGGATTTTTCTAACCAGAACAGCACATGATAGCGGTAGTAACTCACAACGAGAGAGTACTACAAGACATGGAGTTGGAACTGCTTGGTTAAAATAGCTTTCTTCCATCAAAAACCTAGCAAGTTTTAATTTTAAGAGAGGAATTGTCCACTCTTAAAATTAAAGAGAGGAAATGACACATTGCAAGTCATTTATTATATAAGGAAGCCATTCTCTTAGTGACCAAGAATATAATCTGGGATTAAGCCTAAGCTTAAATTTGTAGCACTTGCAACTACATGATTTTGAAAAAGCTTCTTAATCATCTAAACCACAGTTTTGTCATCTACATAATGTAGATTATATTTGTCATTTATAAGGTGATTGTAAAGACAAAAGTATGCAGGGAAAGCTGTCAGCACAGAGCCTAGAAAACTTCAAAACAGTTAGTATCACCATCATCATCATCATCACTCCCCATGTTTTCTAGCAATTCAAAGAACAGAGCTGATATTCTTCATCAAGAAATGTAAGGATAAGGTTGGCTGGATAGCTCAGTGAATTAAAGCACCTGCTTAGGCATGGGCAGAGATCGGGGGTTCAATCTCCGGCATGCCATGCCAGCCCTGCCTGCAGGGTTTGCTGAGCCTGTGATGGAGACTGGGCATGGTGGCACACACCTATAATTCCAGTGCTTGGGAGGCTGACAACAGGAGGATCAATACAAAACCGATCTGTGTAGTGAGACCCTGTAGACCCTGTACTAAACATACGCACAAAAAAAAAAAAAAAAATTTTAAACAAATAAATGGAAGCATGGAAGGAGTTCCTCTTTCTGTTTGTCCTCCTGCCTTCTCATCATAGTAGACTGCTGATTCCAAATAATCTAGACTCCAGGGGGAGAGAACACTCACCAGATGTTAGTGAAACTCTTTTCTGAGGGTGTTTCGCTGCTAGGATGACTCATGCCTCTTGGGACAGGACTAAGACCACAGTATTGATTTCAATCTCAGGAAGATTCTAAAATGCAAACAAACACCTCTTTCACCGACATCGAAGTTGACTTTTGGAGAACAAGCTTCCCTTATTAGGTATGCAGTTTGGTGGTCTGTAATTCACAGCTCGTGAAGAGGGACTATCAAAGGAAAACTTAAACGCCCTACCCATGGGACTGAAAGAACTCCTCTGCTGTAACAAGTAGAAAAGGTTTAGAGAAAGAGGGAAGTGAGCAGTAACTCAGGGAGGACAAATTTATCCCTTTGAGAAGAAGTACTTTTAATAGAGGATAAAAGAACAGGGCTATATTGGGTGGGGATGGAGAATCTGAGGGCTGGGGTGTCAAGTCAGAACAAAAGAAATCTCATCAGAGATTTATCTGACATTTGTAAAGTATTCTAAAACTGCGCTGGACTTCTCCTGTGAGACAAACTGGAAAGCTGCCAACAGCTGGACTGGACTCTGAGGAGAGAAAACAGCTCAGAATGCTCAGTGCAGAGTACTGATCTTAATGAAAAAGAAAGACCAAAGTGGAAAAGGAAGGGACACAGTGTGTTGCTTCGCCTCCCCGGCACCGTGGCAGAGCCAGCTCCGGCACACCAGGGATCCACATGCCGACTTCCAGGTGGAGGTGAGTGGCCCTGGCCACCCAGATCAGCAGCCTCAGAAAAGGCAGCATACGCACCACAGGCCCAAGAGACACCAGGGCTCAGGCGTCAGGGAAGGGAGGCGAAGAAGTGAGGAGACAGAGACAGAAATTGTCGAAGACCCTGCACCAGCGATCCAGCTCTCGCCACCAAGATGCCAAGCTTAAATATGTGATCATACTAAAATTTCATAACTGAAAATATCAATCTTAAAGAAATTATTTTGGTGACCTGAATAAATGTTTAAGTTTTGTAATTCATTTTGTAATGTCAAAATAACCCATACATCAC